GACTTCGCGCACGTCACGTGAATTCAGAATTGTTTGTTTTGCTACCTGCATGAGGCGTGGCGTAATGGTACAAAGTCCGATGATAGACTTTCTCTGTCAGATATATTAGTAGTTTTAGTGATGTCAGAAACCGAAACGGAGATTTTCTCAGCAACTACCTAAGACGGACTTTGACGTCTGTACGCAAGCTAATGCTAGTGTAAAAGGACAGTTATTCGAAAACGGCAAAGAAACTGACAATTTCCGTTACTGAACTTACTGAGTTTAATAAGAATCGTATAGGAAATGCTTAAACTTATTATTAGGTTCTGAAATAATCACCTCCTAAATTCGGGACTAAAGACGTTAGATGTCGGTTATAGATAAAATCTATTCCGGGCTGCAACCCGTTTCGGAAGGAGCAGATCTACTCTTCTGCGGGTGGACTGGGTAGGCTGTGGATGTCTTCTCAATACTTTGCAATACTGCAATACTGCAATACTGCAATACTCCAATTCTGCAATACTCTCAATACTGCAATACTGCAATACTACCAATACTGCAATACTGCAATACTACCAATACTCTCAATACTGCAATACTTCTCAATACTCAAATATGAGCTGTTCTCAGTGAGGCAATGTCTTGCCTTTTTCAGTCTTTTAAACGATTTGGGAGTTTGGATAAGTTCTTATTCTGACTTATGAAAATGTACGTTTCGTGGAATAAATGTGATGACTATCGGTACGACATGTGTTGTTACGCACCCACATCTCCTGATCTCGGTTTCTAAACTCTTGAACTCCTATTTTAAGAAGTATGAGTCTCTCTCTCTTTTTGGATATGACGTTTGGATAAAATAAAATAGAAATATCTAACTGTTAGAAATACTTTTTTCTTCATGCCGTGAATAACATATCTAATGATTTATTTGCTTCCATCGAACTATCAATACGAACATGCAGAACAGAGTCTAACAGAAAACAGAAGTCAAATTTCGTCGTGTGTTAATACCACTTGGAACTCAGGCCCGGTGGATAATGTGGGTATGGTGGGTAGTTATACACAAACGAAAAACTCTGAGTAGTTAAAATACCCACTCGAAATTTCGGGTGGGAAAAATATTCCATAAACATCAAATTCCAGAAATTAACTAAGTTTCTCACATTATATTAAAACGTATATGGAATCAGCATGTTGCAAGAGCGGCTCAACAGTTATGGCGTCGTCGGGTGCGAGTAAAACACAGACACGGAGTTGTTCTGTACAAATTTATTGACAAATTTTATACACTATCTACACTCTTCGGAAACTAGCGCTACACTCCCAGCACTGTACATCTCTGAGGCATATCCGCCTAAGTATGACGCAGACCCCAGCGGCTTGGCGCCGCTCCTGGTCTCTCGTCTCGTGGCAACCGCCACACCTCTCAGCCGAAGCTCGCGATAACCCCTGGCGGGTGAAATGTGCCTTCCGCACCGCGCTTCCGTTCGACAACGAATGACCACGGCTGGTTACTCTCCAGCCGCCTCGCGAGGAGTCTTGTGACAGACCTCCCATGCCGGCGGCGTCCTCTCATTCCGAAACGTGGGCCTGTTTGCAATTTTGAAGTCCAGCTTCACCGCGGCTGGACTCGCCCATCATCTCCCTCTGCGCCTGTTGACATCCACGTTCCGAGACACGCCCACCCCGGCCCTTGAGAAGGGCCCGCCTATGGTGGCCTTCCCCTTGCCGCCAAAGGGCTGCCCCCGCCCCCTCGCTGGCCTTCCGACATGTGTGGTCCATCTGGCCCATTGGCACGACGTTACACAGTATTGCAATTTTACATCTTTATAGTGACATGACCGACAAAATCAAGTTGTAGGAATTGTTAAGTGAGATTATATAGAACTAGTGGTGCCACAACAGCATATACTTTCTCGCAATATTACGTGTTATCATTAAGTGAGCCAGGACGCCCATACATGCTTCATTAATTTCAACCATAAATTACGTTAAAACTACTAACTTTTACAAAACATTGTACCTTAACCTTTTTTAAAGAGCTTCTCTTGTACAGCAGTCTTTGTCTGAGGCAAAAATCTCTATCTTCAATTTTGTACTTTTGAAATTCTTTTGGGGCATTTTCGAAAAAAACGAGCAATACCCGAAATCGAGACATGCACCTTATTTTTTACCGTACCTTATTACATATGAGGATAAAATTTAAAGAAAAAACATTCGCGCGGTTTTTGAGGAAACAAAATTCATAAATTTCAAGAGCAAACATTTCTATCTTCAATTTTGTAGTTTACAAAAAATTGTTTTGCAATTTTAGAAAAATCGAGGATTTTAACGAAAATGAGAACTGCACCATTCTCTTAAATGTCCTTTGCACTATTCAACAACAAAACTTAATTAAAAAAATGGAACCATTTTCTTGAAAATTTCGAAAATGCCCGGGGGGCTTCATGTAAAGTACCCCCCAAAATTAAAGAACCAGTTTCATATTCCAGGGATCGCGACCTCAGCCAAAACGGTAGGGGAATATCAATTTTAGAGAAAATCGACTGAACGATTTAGTGGCGTTGTGCACTGACGGACAGACAAGAGGTATTGCCATCAATCGATTTTTCGGTAAAAAGGTCGCACAAAACATGGATTCTGGCTACATCCTATGTTACAGGAATTTGTTTTCTATATTTAGCAACTTGGTTTATCCATTTTTTCGTTAACAGGGCCCGGGAATAAAGAGTTTTTGCGTCGAAAATTCGCTGGTTTTCGGTGGAGGATTCCAATACTTTCTCTTCTTACGTTAATACAAGCGCGGTTGTAAGTGCGAAAAAGTAAAAATGCAAAGATCAGCGCTGTTTTTGATTGCAAAATTGAACTCTGCAGAAGTTTCATAAAATTAATGTGATAACAATTTGATGACAATCTAATAATAAATATGACAATTTGAAAAATTCTGTTTTGTATTTTTTCCCTTCATGTACATTTTTGGTGGGAGATGAAGGAAGGGTTATCCCTACCCGGGTTAATTACCCACTCGGATGTAACACTAATCGCCGACCCTATTGAAACTTTTAGAGTGTTTTAGATCTGACGTGGTAGTAACAGCAGATTCTATTGTGTCTTTACATGTATTCGGCATTTGCTGGAATTTGAATAGCTGAAACGATAATTATGATCAATTGTTACTACTAGTTACTGACAAATATGATGTATATAATCCTAGTAAATTTTGAGAACCGTTTAATGAGCGATCAAGTATGCCATTTTCTTATTGCCTGGATCTTGGGCAGCTATATAAGTGCTTCTAAATATGTCTCCATTCTTCTATTTATAAACGACATAAATGATTGCTCTTGGTCTATCTGTACCTTATCCATTATTTTTTAGATGTTGTACATATCAAGGACCTACACACCGTAGATTTCGATTACACAACTTGTTAGAGGCGTTCCTTTTTCTGTCGAAAAATCCGCCTCAGCACTGCAATACTTTTTCTTTACTACATTTTCACGTTGGAATAAAAGATAGTAAAAATAACGAAATACATTGATATTCAGCTCTACCTGGAAAGATTCTGGAAACGGAGGATATAGCTGTCTGAACAGAAATTGGATAATTTGTGCTCCAGGAACCACAACCAGAGGCCTAAAGAAACGTGTCAACTCGATGCCGGAATAGCATACCGACTATAAACCCCGCAGCTATCATGTATAATGTACATATTAAAAAATATCTAATTGAATGTGAGTAAACATCCCACCCTTTGGACACCGTTAATTGAAGGCCTGTGTCCCGCGAACGTTGCGTTAACGTGCGTCACCTAACGCTGATAACGTCAGCTGCGTTGACGCCTGTCCACACGAGCCGCGCGTCGTACATTAATACTGTCTCCTATGCTAAACGGCACATGAACGCACTTAGCGACGTGCGTTGTGCCACAGCTCAAGCTGAATTCATCAGCCTTATGTGACGCGCATCTACGTAACGCTCGTCAGACAAAAGCCTACAGTGTGAAAATAACTTCATACAGGAACCAAACTTTGAATGGCCAGGCCCTAAACTGTGCATTAGGCATTTACATAATATAGGATCAGTAGGCCTATTGTGTGGGCTAATATTTTTAAGCATTTATTAATAACCATAAAGATCAGAGCTCGAGTCAAGAATATCAAATAGCCATTGCAATTGCCTTGATCATCAGTATTGCCATCTCTACTAGGCTACTTTTAGGGGTCAACCCCCTTATTGATGTCTAAGTCAATGTTGATTGTTATCATTGGTGATACCTCGTGTGCTTTGCAAATTGTCGATAAATTCCCTACTCGCGAAGCGAGGAGAGGATTTATCTGACACTTTCCAAAGCACGAGTGGTATTTAATAGGACTTTTCCACTAGTAAAATTATGTTCAACAGAGTTCCAAAATGCGCCAAATATTGAAAATAACGCCTCCTAAGATAGACGAATCAGTTTATGATTGGTCAGTAGGTAGAAACGGTAGGAAAAATCGGATACAAAAAGCGATCAACTTTTTGAGATACACCATGATTGGGGCATTTTGTATTTATAGTTAAACACTATTGGTTTTAATTTCATGAGTGGAATAGTCATAGCAAATTGCAATGGCAAATGGCCACTGCCATTGCCGAAGTTTATGTTGATAACTACTGACAATATTAATTTAAAATAGTTTTAGGTATGTCTATTCATATGATTGTTCTATAATAATATAATCACATACATTTCAAGATTTTCTACCCACTTGTGCCACTGAGTATCCAGAGGTGCTGCAAAAATGTAATGAAATATGGGGCTATATTGAATAGTTTTTTCTTAAATCTAGGGATCCCAGGGAAGTAATTTCCGTTTCAACAGTTACACATTATCAGAGTTAGAAAGTATTGATAGGATCTAATAAGTTGTAGCCAACCATCAACTTTCCTAAGGTTTTTATTTGTAGAAAGGGAATTTATACTTTTTATGTATTGAGGGAATTTTTATTTTATTGCTCTCTTTAAAGAAAGAAGGATTGAGTTTCAGGGAAAAATTGCCATTCATCTTGTATTATAAGGTGTACTTTAGTAACAATTACAATCAAATTACAATTAATTGTATTAAGACCATAAAAAAATAAAAAAATATTTTTATTTGAGAGAGGTAACTGATTTTATTCAGAATACATCAGTCATAATAAAATTCTGCAGTACAGAGTGAGTAGAAATTAATAGTATTAAATCAGTACCAAACAATTGGCTACTTTTCAAACAATAATGTAAAAGAATTTCTGTTTCATTTATTATAATTTCAATTAAGTTAATTTCTTCACATATTTCTTCAATAAAAATTATTAGGAAAATGTTTTCATTAACATTGAGATATGTACTTTAATATTTTGCTTCATTAATATTTCTTCAATGCTTCAGAACACCTCAATAAAAGTACCAGTTGAGATTAATTTAGTCTTTTCATATAAACTATTATTATATCTTATTATAATAATCTTATTATTGGGATAAGGTTTTTGTTGATAGTTTCAGATCTTATAGAATTCCCCGTTCAATTTCTTCTTTTAATAGATTGTGATATTGTATGTTCTCTAGTGCTGGCAATCAGTTTTGTAGTTTGACTTAAAAAATTCTAAATACGATGTCAGATTTCTTTACCAGTTTCTCAATAATTCCTCTTCAAGAAATGGTGAAACTTGGTGTACAATGGTGCAGGATGAAGTATGGTCAGATGTAAAATATATGTTAAGAATTCACCATATTTTATATTATATTGCCTCCATACCATAGAACGTTACAGCATTGTTCTTTGGCACAAAATTTACTTCCTGCATTTGAGATCATTCAGTTTTCAGAGTGCCAGCAGGTATTACCACAGATTATAATTTGATAATATTATTTTTACAATCTCTTGCAGAATTCTATTGTACCTATATAATAATAACCTAATTTTGATGATACACATGCAAATTTATCTGCTCTTAAAAGTTACTTCAAATGGTTTTGGAGCTGTGGTAAAGCCAGGGAGGCTTAGAGTCGATGGTGTAGGATGACCAGGTGGCAGGTGTACTGAATACTTTTGCATTATTGATGTAAAAAACAGAAAGAGATTGTTTCTTGCGAGAGCCTCTCCCGGACACAATCGCTTTCCAAGTCCAAATGGGATGAAAGTGTTGTCCTTGACTAATTTCCCATTTTCATCAATGAAGCGTGATGGCCGGAAGTTACAAGGATCTCCCCAATGCTCTTTGTCTTGAAGAACGTTCCACAGACTCACAAGCACTGTTGTATTCTACAAAGATATAAATCATATACATAATTTAATTCAAAAATTGATAATCTTATGACTAAAATAATACTAAAGATTTGTAGCAACATTGACAAAATGATGTCCATTTGTCAGGAACTTTAATTCAAAAGTAAAACTGCTTGTTTGCAACAGTTTTAAAAGGATTACAAAATCATTAGAATAGATTTTGGAATTCCAAGTCAGTTCTTGAATTATAACATTAGCTAAGAGGTGAAAAAAGATAGTACCTTAGGGATGAAATATCCATTCAATGTTGTATCTTTCATTGCCCTATGTGGCACAGTGATTGGAGCTATTGTATTGCAACGCATAACTTCCAGAATTACAGCTTCCACGTATGGAACACTACAGATAAAGAAAATTAGTTTCTTAAATCTATGCCATACCTACATTTAAGAAGAATCAGATTGACAGTATACTTACTGGACTTTATCTTGCAATGACAGTTTATGATTTCTACCAATGTTTTCATCAATGGTAGCATGAACTTTTTCTTGAACCTCTGGGTATAAGACCATGTACAGCAATGCAAACCCAAGGGTATTCCCAACTGATTCTGATCCAGCTGAGAAGAGGTCTGAACACACCACTTGGAGGGTCTGGACTATTATAAAAAAATTTAAAAGAATTAGATTAATAAAAAAAAGTTTCAGTGGCTAAATTAACAATAAGGAACAATTGGAATTTCTCCCCAAAACTGTGTAAAGAAATGAAAATTACCATCAAATGTTGTATTTGATCCTTTCTTAGAATTCATTTCAATCAGATAAACATCAATGAAATCTCGAGGATTATTTTCATCTAGAGATTGTGCATGTTCATTTATAATTTCCTAAGAAGAGAAAATAAATTAAGATCACAGATTTCAATATATTTACTACTACTACTACTACTACTACTACTACTACTACTACTACTACTACTACTACTACTACTACTAATGAATATTAAACATATTACACATAACAAAAACTGTATCTTTCTTTACCAAAAAAAAATTGTTCAGTTGTTCAGAAGCTATTTGTATTTCATTCATATAGTTGGGAAAAATATATTTTAGAAATGGAAATATCATTCTCAAGTTTCCTCCAGTTGGATTTCCAGAACGGAAAAATGCTGTCAAAAGTTGCATTAACTTTTGTAGTTTTGGATCAGAGTGTTTGTATCTGGTTCCAGCAATTATGCCCCAAAGAACATTCACTGTTGATATATTAAACAAACCGCTGACCTGTGATGAACAGAGATACGTCAGAGAGTGTTACATTAAAATTACATTTACAGGAATGAAGGAAAGGTATAAAGTTATTGTTTAAAACATTTAATTCAAATTATGACACCTTTAATTATGAAGAAAAATTATTTGAATAAATACATACATTTAAAACATGGCTAATTAACAAAGTATCTGAAATAATCTTCTTACAGCAATTATAATTATACTATTTATTCTTAACAGAATTACTTCTTTGGAAAGAATTGGGAGTATCAAACTCATGCCCTTTATTTACCTGTAATGTTTTATCTTTGATTTCTTCCAGAAGTTCAGTTACTTCTTCCATTATAATTCCCTCCATACTAGATTTTCCTAGACCAAAATCTTTCAACTGGTGAACAGCAAAACGCCGCTGTTCTTGCCACTCCTCACCATCAGCAAAAATAATACCTAAAAGAAAAATAATATTTCAAACATTTTAGTTATGCTTACTCAAATTACATTAATTTTCTTCTGTGTTACTTCATATCTCTGGAGGCCCATGTAAATCCAAATTACTTACGTGTGATAACCTTACAATAATAAAATGAGCATCATATGTTTGAAACTACCAACCATTATGAATTAAGTTTTATAAATGGCAATGTTGTCATGCTGAATGTTTAAATGCGGAATTACCAGTGTTTCATTAATACACACAGAATAATTTGCAAGTTACAATTCTATTAAAAGGAATATTTCATCAACAATATCTGGCGATGTTGATATTTTGGTGATACTCTCTCAGCTTTCAATATTTTGCTCTTCAATAGGAGGAGGATTGAATTGAATTGAATTTAAAGCTATTGAAATATATTTTCTTGGCTTTTTGGAAAGCAATATTGTTTTTTTTATTAATGGTGTTTTAATTTTTTTTGTTTACTTATATTTTGTTTTCAATATTTTTAATTGCAATTTTGATAACAAGAAATTTTTTAGTAGCAAGCTCTTAGAGAGCTAGAAAAGGCACTAAATTCATTATCTCAATGTTTGGAGCAAGCTAGGTTTTGTAAAAATAGATAAACATACCAATTCTTCTGTCAAAGGAACGTTCAGTGATAAATTTACTAATTGGCCTTGCTTGGAATTCATCACGCTTCAGTACTTCTTTGGCTACTTTGGTTTCAACCACAGCACAACTTAGTTTAGTTCCAAGAACAAGACCTACCACACCGCCATATTGTTTGCGCCATTTTTCCATTGCATAATGGACATTTTCTTTGGGCATAAAAGGAAGTGCTCCTAGAATAGGCACAGTAGGAGGTCCTGAAAATTCAAAATTATATCTTAATAATATCCTTTTAACTCAAAGTTATATGAATCTACTTCAACATTTTTAAAATCCTTTCCTTGTATTTTTATTCAAGGCCAGATTAGGAATGCCCTGTCATTTGCAATGAGAACGGCTCTCAAGAAAGTTAATTATAATAAGAGGTTATTTACAATAAATACAATTAAATGTTATTTAAAAATATATAATACACATAGATGATAACTCAAAAAGGAATGTTTTAGGTTGATAACATTCTAAATGTTTACTAACGGATGGCACAGGCAAAAATGTATATAATTAAAATGTAAATGAAATTTATATATTAGTTTGTTTTTAAGGAATCAGGAATTTTGTTTGATGATTAATAAACATATTTACTTTGTAAAATTTTTGAAATAATTAATTTTGGATTAAGAATGTTATAGATTTTCTTTCCTAATATATATTTTAAGTATTTTAAGAACCAAAAAATTAATAGAAAATTAAAAATATAATTAATGTTTCAAAAATAAAAGTGAATAAAATATTTATGTTATTTCAGTGGTAATAAATTATTTCATTGTATCCTCTTAGAATTCCTCATAATTTAATATCATATGTGTGAATTATATGAAATCATTCATAGATTAAGAACTGAAGAGAACACAAACATTGTTAGAACAGAAATATGCCATCATTTAAAAAAGTTGAATAAATATGTAAGAAAAAACAGAGTAGCTGAAGTATGAACATCAAAATGAGAATGTGTTAGGATTCATCTACATTTGTTAGTAAGAAGTAGAGAGACTATTTTTATGCCCTAAAAAATTTTGAAGTATGCATTTATGACCTAAAAATTCTAAAATAAGCACTTATATTAAATAAAAATTAACAATATTTCCTTTCTTGTACAAACTCTTCTTGATAAAATTTAGAAGTAGGCTTGGAATGAATGAATTATTTTTGTGCAAACATAATGTATTCTACCATATTTTGTAGGAGAAATTATTGAAGTGAAGTACATTGTATGTCTTGTACATTATTATATCAAGAAATATCCTCATTTTACCCGAGTATTTTATTATCTATAGAAAAGAAAAACAACGCAAACTGGGACAAGTTCTTTCTATTCAATGAATATATTTTATGAAAAATAGAAATGTTTTAGAGATAAGTCTTTATTGTAACGAAACATGCAAAATATTTACATGAATATGCCCCAACAGGGAGAAATTGATAAAATATGCACAAATATGCACTATCAAATTAATTTACAATGCATCCAATTCTAATCAAATGTCAAGAAATTTTACTTAGCTCTGCCCTGAAGCAACAGACAAAAATATGGCACTGGAGCAACAGACAATAATAAGACAGGAAATGTCATGAAGAGGAAATGACAGAGATTAGATCACTGAAGCACTACCAACACAGTGTGTAAAAACATTTTCCAAAAATGTTAATGCATGACAGAAGTAGCAGTTCTCTTACCTGGAGGAAAATTTGCAGGTCTTATTTTGAGCCACGAGTAAACCACATATAAAATTAAAACCGTGAATATCAAAAGAAACATTTTTTGAAATTTTCTGAAAAACAAAAAAATAATAAAAATTAAGAATTAAAAACTTTTTTCAAATCACTCCATCTCGACGAAATTTTACGTTTTGTGAAGTCATTTGGCATAAAAACATCATAACACCGGTCACCGGTAATGGCAATACTTACCCATACAATTGCAAATTTCGAAATTTTTGTAACTGATACGGTGAAATATTTACATCAGCAACTGTTGCTTGCAGCAGCAGGACACACCTTTGGCAGTATCGGCTTTTTCACACTTTTATATCACCACGACTCCTTCCAGCATGTATCGTGACTAAGAGAAACTCTTGACCTTCGGACCCGAAAGACTAGAGTGGGGATTATGATCCATGCAACCTGCAATTTTTGGAGTTCGCCTAAAGGCGGCTCCACACATGCGGCATTCGCCGAATCCCGAGTAGTGTGGACGGGATGCTTGCGATTCGCCGAGCGTCGAACGTTCAGTGTTCCCCTACCCACTGCGTGTCGGTCTCTAGGACACATCAAAGGGAGCGAACATTCGCCGAACTCATCAGCTGTTTGGGATGGGGCGAGCAGTAACTCGCGAGCAGCGAGCAGTAACTCGCTGCTCAGCGATTGCCGAATACATAAGTTACGTAACGCAACTGCAGTATTTTCAATACCCCCTTGTAACGCACCCATAACGAAAGCTTTAGTCTCCCTAAATAACTAGAACGAAACGCTTGCGCCACCCCCTGTAAATGCAAGTGAAAATAAATTACAGCACAGTAAAAACAATTTGTATTTATTTTACTTGTGTTGCATATTAAATTTAACGATAATTACAATAGAAATTAGTTGTCGATGCTGGCTGCACCTAACAATAAGATTGGGGCAAGTTTGGAATGAAGAATGCCTGGGCGAGAAATGGTTTAACACAGGCTGTGAACACGCCGTCGTGGATGACGCAACGGCGAAAGTCAATTTAAATGGATTCTAGAAGAATATACTTCAGATTGGTTTTGAATATTTTCTTCATAATCTTACAACAACATAAAGTTGAAAAATATTTCCATTTCTTGTAACAATTTACCACAAATAACTTTAGTTTATTTATGCTTTTAAAACAAATTAATTAGTGAGTATTTTAATGTTTTCTTGCAGGACTAAAAAAAATATTTCAGCGAATGTTGAAAAATGAAAAAAAAGTTATTATTAATGATAAGTAGCACTTAACTTATCTCCCTACCCCTACGTAACGCAGCGTAATGCTGCCTCAGATCCCCTTATCCTCTTTTGCGTTACGTAATTTATGCGTGACTCCTAAGCTTAAATCCTTCGTTTTACTTTCTCGTCTTACTTATTAAGATGGTGTTATAATCGTGTGCCCGAAAATGGCGAATATTCGACAGATAAAAGTTTCTCAGACTGGCGCGGGAGATTCACAGCCTTACGCGAAATGGCCGCAGCGGAAGTTTAGCGTCATGGGTTGCCTTATGAGCACGTTCAGACCTGCATGGCAGGCGAGCGTCGCGGATTGGCAGCGTTTAATCCACGGCGGAATTTGTAACGCAGTAGGACGCGTTTCGACCGCTGCAGCTTGAGTTTCGTGGAAGTCTGCCTGCCTTCGGGAATCTTCGCACCCTCTGGATCGAGCTTCCAAACCTTTGTTTATGGGATGAGGAAAACTGTCACCAAACGCTGAGTCATAATTGGCGCTCCCGTGTGAACGGCCCCGCGGATTTCGTCGCCGCGTCTAGGGCGGAACTTTCCGCGCCGCACCCGCTGCGGACTCGCCGCGCCGGTCTGTGGGAGCATAAAGTCTTATTGCCGGGCCCGGGTAACGAAAAAGTGGATAAATCTTGATCTTACACAAGTGTATAATAAATTACTTCCTCTAGCACTTTGTGTAGTTGATTGATTTCTATTGATATACTGATTCCGGGCGCATCAACAGCTATGGTCGTTAGTCCCATTAATGTAGTGCACATTTTTACTCGGGAGGTGGCGTTGACCTTTGTCCCGCTGGATGGTGAAATCCGGCGACGACCTACCGTCAGCTAGCGTGGTTTTCCTCAACGAGGTATTTTCCACCTGTGGGGGGGGGCACCGCCCAACGTATGGGGTCTCCCCCATAATCTGCGCACGTTTTTTTAAGTTCCAGAATCCCTTCCCTTCATTTTAAATATAAATAGTTGAAAAATGAATAAAAGTTAAAAACAAATTAGCAGTTTTTAGCAGTTTTGGAAAATCAATGAATTTAATAAAATTGAAATTTGCGCCATTTTAAGTATCCTTTAAGTATCCAGCAAAATATGTATTGAAACACTTTGAAGCCATTTTTGTGTAAATTGTGAAAATGTCGGGGCTTCATGTAAATTACCCTGAAAAATCAAAATTTCCCTTTCAAACTCGCAGGGCCATGGATTCGGCCATCAATCTGGGAATATCACTTTTGGAGAAAATTATGGGGGATGGACGGGCGGACGTTTTATCGTCAACCAATTTTTCTGTTTGTATGACACACAAAACTTTGCTTATGACTATTAATCGTGTTAAAGAAAGTATTTTACTACATATATGAACATGATTTATCCCTTTTGATATCGGGATTCCATAATATGAGTTTTTTGACGAAAAATCGCCAATCTCCGCTGCAGCATTACAATAACTTCTCTTCCCGGCAACTTAGTATGACGAGAAAGTAAAAAGATCTTAAAAACGAAAGTCCTTAAAAGCCAAAGAAGGGGGTAATATTTTAGCGAATAGGAACATTAAATGAAGATTGGAAAGAAAGGATGATGTGTTAAAGACGTTTAAGAATTTTACAGATAGGCCAGTTCTACGAAACTGGACTACTTGATTAAAGGAAAGTTGAAACAAGAAAATTAAAATCTGATAAACAGTGTGCTTAAACAATAAATTATATTATGTTTATTTATAAAATGGCAAATATTTCTTAGAGCTTTGTTATTTAGACCATCATTCATAACATTATATTATTATCCAGTTTGAGATATCATACAACTGTGGAGTGTATGCAACACCACATAGAAACTGTATATCTAGGTGATAGTATATCCAGGTGATTAATAATTGATTAATTGATTTAATTAATAAGATGGTAATTATTTATTAATTCTAGATTTAATATCCAGGTGGTTAATTTAGAATATTTATTCATTTGAGCGATTCTATCAGGGCCTAGGGACCATTGTAATTTCAGAAATTTATACGATTTATCTTGATGGATACGCGCGCGGATGGATAAGCCGACTTTTATTTTTCTTTTAATTATAATATGCAAAATAAACATGGGTTATTATATAACTTATTAATGTTGATGGATTTTTATTTATTTTCATATCTTTTAATTAGAGACAATCATTGGATAGATAAATCAGAAACACGTCACTTGTAAACGAATATATTTGGATTCCTTGGTCACCAAACGTTTACCCACTTGTAGTAATTTCGCATCTCTCCACTATCTTTAAAAGCTCCAGTTTTTCCGTTGTGTCAGAACGAAATATTTCGAGTTAATGATTAAATTAGAAATTACGAAGGAATAGAACCCAGTGATATTCGTTATGTTGCTTACATCTGATTTTTTCGAGTATTTAATTATTTTTGTATTTAAAGAATATAATGCTGCATGACCAAGAAAGTATTTGCCAGATACTAGTACGTTTTTGCGAATAGTAAAGTGATTAACATTAACATTATATTTAAACATTGATTGTTTGAAGCGATGAGAAAATAAAACATGTTTAAGGTGATAAATTTGTTGTTTCGAATGCATCCATCTAGATCAGGTTTTTGTCCAGTTTCTCTGATCCATTGAGTAAATGCTGAGATGGATTCTAGTTTTGCTTCTAGACGTAAATGTTGCTTCACTATGCGCACGTTTTGTTTAACTCTCCTTTTGCTTGTAATGGATCATATCTTCAAACTAATCTACAGATTGCAAACTACTTTCCCTGAAAGGTATCAGTACTTGTTGGAACATCGATTAAAAATAGAAACTAAAAAAAAAAAAATTAAAAAAAAATTAATAAGATGGGAGAAGTAATTGAGGAAACAATCTGTATATTTTTTATTACCGAATCTCTCTCTCCCCCCTCTCTCTATCTCTCTTTCTGTCACACACACACACGAAGAGGCTGCATAATCTAAATTAAGCGATTGCTCGATTCAAGTGGTTCTACTCACTCGTACATTCAAAACCGATTAGATACTAAATGACGTAGATGGGGGAACTAAAGGTCTCACAGCCACAGTGTATACACGGAAAGATAGTTTAATATTATTTATGTAGTCATTCACGGAAACTTACCTGGCAACTAAGGTTTCAAATAATACACTTCACAGTCAGCACCAAATACTGAGGGGAAAATGGCGTAAACACCCTACCTCGACGATGCAGCTGATGGCAGAGGCCAGGACGGCGTGCGTCTCGCTTCCTGCGTGAAGCCCGCCAAGAGCGAGGGTGAAGTGGAGTGTTAAATGAGAATGACCGAAGGGAACTAATCGATTTGCGAATCAACATAAACGCAGGGAAGTTACTAAAGTAGAAAACTCCATTAAAAAATTGAAATATTGAAGAGGAAATTCCATCAGAATGTCAAACGTTTTAAAATTAGATTAAATAAATTGTATTTTTAAGATATGTTAACATTAACATACATTTTTTCTATTATTACTGTTACTTTATATTAACAGGCCCGTTTAGCATGATAAGATTATAATATTAATGTTGTAAAATTGTATTAAGTAATATGTAAATGTTATAATGCTTTTTCAATGTTTGATGTGTTTGTAGTAAGAATTTAGAAAACGCTACCACCGGAAATATTTTTATGAATTCCTAAGTAGCAAAATAAATATTCTATTCTATATCGGTAACAGGAAGTTTTATTAGAAGGGAGTAGGACGAGACTCTGGTTAATAAAGAAACTTAATGAATGTCACAGCAATGGTGTCATTAAAGCACAGGGTTCATCTGCAATCTCCAGAGTTTCCCCGAATCATTTGGTTATTCATGGATTGAATCCCATGTTTTGTCAATTTAGATATATATTTTTCAACAAGTTCTTTAAGCCAGAGGTAGCAATGCTTTATAATGATAAAGGGAAATAAATAGATTTCACGCCAGGCTGCGATTTACACTTATGTCGCAGTATATTATGAAATGATCCTCATCCAGTTGTGAGATATAGCTCAGAGAACCTCAAAGTAATACATTCGATGACAAATTTTCTTATTTCTTAATATTAAGGTGACCAATCGTCCACCTTAAGGGAGGACAGTCCTTTTGTAGATTCTGTTCTTTCTCGATATGTGTCCTCATATCTGTCTTCCATTTCGATATTTTAAAACTAATCTGTTAATCTCTGTATTCAAGTTGCCGTGCCGAACTGTTACGCACCATGTGAC